TCTGTATGAATTAAATGTTCTCATATTTGCATTTAAAACTGGCACTGTACAGTGTAAATATGAATGGTGAAAATCAAGCTAGCAATTTAAATTAAAGAGTTTTCTTTCCTTAAAAAGTATTAAATAGCAAATAAAAACACCATACTACTTTGCTGGTGGCTCAGCGGTAAAAGAATCTGCCTGCCAATGCAGGGGACACAGGTTCAACCCCTGGGTCAGGAATATCATCTGGAGAAGGAAATGGCAATCCACGACAGTATTTTTGCCTGGGAAATCTCATGGACAGAGGAGCCTGGTGGGCTACAGTCCATGGGGTCACAAAGAGTCAGACACATTAGTGACCATCACAACATATCATACAAAAACACCATAGCAAGTTGACAGAGAGACAGAAAGATAGGAAAAAGTTTTATATTTTAGTATTTTTAGTGACTCTTTTTTCATACCTGACACATTATATAGCTGACCATGTAAAAAGTATGCATTTAGGTTGTACATTTAAAAATTTACGAATTAAATTATACATTTAGTATATGACCAAGAAATCATTTTCTGGGGCTTCAGTGAAGAGTTATCAGGAGATAACCAGAGAGATATCCCAGAATGCTACCGACAGTGCTCTTGGAGCTAAGTAGGAGAACAGGTAAATCCTCACCAATCAGAATACAGATTTTTTAATTTAATTCACCTGCTTTTAGTATGGCACACTAGCCCTACTATCTGTGTTAAGTAACCTCAAGTCCAGAGTCCCTCTGGCTCAAAATCTTCAAAGGGAAAACCTCTAGTCTTCTGCTGAGTAGGGGAATGTGGTCAGATTCCTTCAGAAGGTGGTCAAGAGATGGGGAACAGAAGGAAGGGGCCTGTTCCTTGTTTGAACTTTAAACCAAACCTCCAGTTTGTGACTCCTGCTGGTGCCTTCAATTCCTGAGGCCTTCCAAGGTGTTGCCAAATGAATGAGTTTTTTTCTTAATGTTCCCAGCTACAGGCCCTTAGCTTTCAGCTTCCTCTGGTCTGCTAAGAAGTCAGTTACCACTTACCTGATCATATGCTTTCCAGATTCTAACCTGTTTTTTGACAGTTCTCTCTGCTATTTTCTCTTCAGTTCTTATTTTGTTTGAGGATTTGTCTCTTTAAACACTGTTCTCCTGCCATTATTTTCATGATATTTTTTGAGAGAGAAAGGATAAGTATATGTTACTGTTTAATCGCTAAGTTGTGTCTCACTCTGAGACCCCATGGGCTGTAGCCCACCAGGCTCCTCTGTTCATGGGATTTTCCCAGGCAAGAATGCTGGAGTGGGTTGCTGTTTTCTTCTCGATCTTGCCAACCTATTTATCAACCCACATCTCCTGCATTGTCAGGTGGGTTCTTTACCATTGAGCCACTCGGGAAGCCCTGGATAAATATATACATGTATTCTATGCACAATGCGTTACTGAAAATAAGTAAAATTTGGAGGTCACCGTAAAGACTATTTTTCCAGTTCATTTTATTCTCTACAGACCTTTGTCACTAAAAAATTTAATTATTTTACTTTTTATATAAAACAATGCAACTTTTAAAAATGAACAGTGAACATACTAAAGAGAAAAGAGAACATATAACATATACCATATCCATAGGAGGAATAAAGACTGGTGTCTTCTCAGTAGAGATCCCTGCTCCCACTCAAAGAGCTCTTTCACAGCTGGTTATATGCACCATCAGGCAGCTGGTTATAATTGAAATCTAGTCCATGGTAGGGCATAGAGTTAAGCACCATGAACACCTAAACTAATCCCATGAAATCCCATCTGGGCATCGGCTTATCTGAGGACCTGAACTAACCCACCAATACACCTTGATGACCCTTTTGCTCACCACTCTTTTTTACTTTTACTTACTTTTTCAGATTCAGTCCTATTGCTTCTACTCCCAGAAGTTTACCCCGAAACCATCGGTTGACCAACCAAAGCAGCATATTAAAAGTCAGAGATATCACTTTGCCAACAAAGGTCCATCTAGTCAAAGCTATGATTTTTCCAGTAGTCATGTATGGATGTGAGAGTTGGACCATAAAGAAAACTGAGTGCTGAAGAAATACTTTCAAACTGTGGTGTTGGAGAAGACTCTTGAGAGTCCCTTGGACTGAAAGATCACACCAGTCAATCCTCAAGGAAATCAACCCTGAGTATTCAGTGGAAGGACTGATGCTGAAGCTGAAGCTCCAGTAGTTTGGCTACCTGATGAGAAGAGCCAACTTATTGGAAAATACCCTGATGCGGGGAAAGATTGAGGGAAGTAGAAGGGGGGAAACAGAGGATGAGATGATTGGATGGCATCACTGACTCAATGGACATGAGTGTGAGCAAACTCCAGGAGATAGTGAAGGATAGAGAAGCCTGGCATGCTGCAGTCCATGGGGTTGCAAAAGTTGGATATGACTTGCCGACTGAAAACAAAAGCTAACTTAGGTGTTTTCTCAATAACTTAAATTCTCAAGTTGCAGTCTCACTGTATCTACCACATTATATGTTTCATTATTTCAGAAGTCAGCACACTGCTTCTTTAAAGTTTATGTTTGGTAAATATTTTTAAGGTTCAGATCAAGAGACAAACTTGATATGATGTAGGTACTTATATATAAGAGAGAAAACAAATTTTAATGACTTTTACTGAAAAAATAACAATTGAGTACAGTTTTGGTGATACAGATAAACTTATCAGAGTAGAATTCTTTTAGAAGGGATAACGTTTCTCTTAATTACGGTTCAAACTTAGTGTTCTCATTTATCAAATTGATGGCAGGTGTTTTTCTGTAAAGATCATTCTTAGCTTGTAAGCTTGCAAAAACAGGCAGTGAAGTTTCCTGACCTCTGCTCTATTTGTTTAACTCTTTGTATCTATTTTGAGATCCAGAACCTTGGTCATATTTATCTTTGAATTCCAAAGTAGTGAACTACCTGACACATTATAGGTGCTTAGTAACTTAAAATTTTCTTTTCAAGCAGTGAAGAGATTTGCTTTTTATCTTAATGGACAATACTTTGACTTTATGTATTACCTTTCATGTAAGAATTTTCAGATCTATTGTCTCCTATCTATTATCTAATATGCAATAAGAAAAAGATTGGTTTTATTGTTCCTATTTTACTGATGGAAAAGTGACACAGAAGTATAGCCAAGACTAGAATTAACAAATTCTAGTCTCAGCTATAGAAGGTTTTCAAAGGATTACAGTACATTCTCAGGTGTATATGTCTCTTGTCTATTTCAAGAATTATCAATTATCAGAAAATTCAGAAGTGTAAGTAAACCCTATGGGCTGGTATAGACAAGGAAATTACTATAGCATTTAGCAGGGGGAAAGCACTAAAAATCTGACTATAACTTAAAATTCCTAGAAATAATGTTCTGTGCTGAGTTTTCAAGTGGGAGACATCATATTTTTGAATAATATTTTTATGTATAATATATAATTTTGAAATGCAGTCTTTAAAGAGATATACCAAAATGAGTGTAATTACCATGAAGAAATGAGCAAACATGTGATTATTAGTCAAAACATGGTATAGGTTACTTTTATATCTGGTGAATTTAGCAAAGGAATAGGGTGTTTTCATGTTTTTGTGGTCAGTAATTTCCTAAGAAATTCCACCCTAATCTTTGTTTGCCATAAGTCCATTATCATCACATCAACGTTATTATAGGGAACCCTCCTACACTGTTGGTGAGATTGCAAACTGATACATCCACAATGGAGAACAGTGTGGGGGTGCCCCAGAAAATTGTAAATAGAGCTACAATGTGATCCAGTAACCCCACTCCTGGGCATATATCCAGGAATAAACCCAAATTTTGAAAAGATTCATGTACCTCAATGTTCATCACAGCACTGTTCACAATAACCAGGACATAGAAGCAACCTAAATGTCTATCAATAGAAATGGATAAAGAGGATGTGGAACATTGTTATCTGTAACAGTATTATTATTATTATTTTCCTTTAAAAGATTTGTTTTTATTGGAGTATAGTTGCTTTACAATGTTTTGTTAGTTTCTACTGTACAGCAAAGTGAATCAGCCATACATGTTCATACATCCCCACTTTCTGGGGGTTCCTTCCCATTTAGGTCATCACAGAGTGCTAAGTTGTGTTCCCTGAGCTATACAGTAAGTTCTCATTCAGTCCAGTTCAGTTCAGTCACTCAGTCGTGTCCAACTCCTTGCAACCCCATGAACCGCAGCACGCCAGGCCTCCCTGTCCATCACCAACTCCTGGAGTCCACCCAAACCCATGTCCATTGAGTTGGTGATGCCATCCAACCATCTCATCCTCTGTCGTCCCCTTCTCCTCCTGCCCTCAATCTTTCCCAGCATCAGGGTCTTTTCAAATGAGTCAGCTCTTCGCTTCAGGTGGCCAAAGTATTGGAGTTTCAGCTTTAACACGAAAGTGTTCAGCTTCCAACGAACACCCAGGACTGATCTCCTTTAGGATGGACTGGTTGGATCTCCTTGCAGTCCAAGGGAATCTCAAGAGTCTTTTCCAACACCACGGTTCAAAAGCATCTATTCTTCAGCACTCAGCTTTCTTTATAGTCCAACTCTCACATCCATACATGTCTACTGGAAAAACCATAGCCTTGACTAGACAGACCTTTGTTGGTCTCATTATTTACCTATTTTATACATATCAATAGTGTATATAAATCAATCCCAATCTCCCAATTCCTCCCACCCCGCCTCCTCTCTTGGTGTCCATATATTTGTTCTTCCCATCTGTGTCTCTATTTCTGTTTTGCAAATAAGTCCATCTATATAATTTTTCTATTTGGATTCCACATATGTGCATTAATATGCAACATTTGTTTTTCTCTTCCTGACTGACTTCACTCTGTTTGACCCTGTTGGTCCATCCAAGCCTCTACAAATGACCAGATTTCATCCCTTTTATGGCTGAGTAATATTCCATTATATATATGTACTCCATCTTCTTTATCCATTCCTCTGTTGATGGACATTTAGTCCAACAATATTATTGGGTACTTTTTAGTTCTAATTTCTGGGGGTAAAAATAGTTGACCTGATCCTTGATCTCGGGAAGAGGGAATAAATATAGGCAATATAGCAATAGATGGAGGCATGAAGTAAAGACCAAAAGGTAGTCCAATAGTACTTGTCAGAGGAGTACAGGCAAGAGGATGTTCCGCAAGGGTGTGAATGTGTGTGGATTGGTTGGTAGCGAGAGGGTGGGGAAAGGCTTCCTGGAAGAGGGAGCACTTAAACTGGGTCTTCCAGAAAGATAATGGAGGGACTTTCCTGCAGTCCAGTGGTTTAGAATCCATGCTTTCCAAGGTGAGGTGGGGGGTAGGGGGTGAGCTGGCAACGTACACAGGTTTGATCCCTGGTTGGGGAACTTAAGATCCCACATGCTGTGTAGTTTTGTTAGCACACTGACTGAAGTTGCCCACCCTGGCCAGGCACCCTAGTAACCATTTGTGTGAGTTGTTTTACGACAGGAGGTCCTGGTAAGGAACAGGGAACCAATAAGCCACCACCAACCAGAAGAGTTCGGGAAAGGTCAAAAGGAGACACCACGTATCCGACCACCTCTCAGAACCCTTCTTGCTGGCATCCATCTTGGCTGAGCGATGCATGCACCACCAGGAAAGACTCTGAGTCAAAATGATTGGCTGAAGACAACTGGTAAACTGATCCTATCAACATAAAACCCGAGACTGCAAGCCAAGTGCAGAGCGGTCCTCCTGGGTTCCCTTACTTTACTGCTCTCAACCCGGGTGCCCTTTTCCAATAAAATCTCTTTCTTTTTCAGCACATGTGTCTCCTTGGACAATTCAAGTCCGAGTGTTAGACAAGAGTCCACTTCCGGGCCCTGGAAGGGGTCCCCCTTCCTGCAACAGCTTGGACAAAATACTAAAAAAAAAAAATGGAGAAGGGATAAAACTCATGGAGAATGGCTTGAGCAAAACCACAAAGGTAGAAAGAATGTGAATGATGTGTTCAGGAAACAATAAATAGATCAGTTTATCTTGAGCAGAGGTTTATGTAAGGAAGTAACTGGAACACATTTGAAGTGTTAGGAATGTGAGGAGAAAGGCCAAATAAAAGAGTTAGAAAGTTTATCAGAGGAAATGGTGAGCTGTCAAAGAAGTATAAACAAGAAAATGGAGATGTCATAGGCAACAAGCATTGTAAGCAAGCTGAATCTTATCTCTTCCTGGACTGGAGCACTGAATACTGGATTATTTTTGTTGCAGCATGTGCTACATAAAAATGCAACATTCATGTCTTTGCTTTTTCATTGTGCTTTTTATCCAACAGAGTTGGTTTTCGAAAAAAACACAATTTTATCTGCAATGATTCAAGAGGAACTTGAAGATCTTTCAAGTGCTTCAACTCTGTGTCCCATTTTGGGATCAATTATGATACTGTGGATGAGCTGAAGTACAGCTTTAGAGAAAATTTGTGTGACTGAGAGCATTTTAATAGCTCATCATAATGTTAGGAGATATATGACACCTTCTGCATTTAAGATTTTTGCATCCTGTTCACTTTTTAAATATCATTGCAAAGCAATATTTTAATAGAATTCCTGGGAATTAAAGCTTTCAGTTTATTTTAACGTGGATTTGTTTTCCTGAGCAAAGTGAGAAATAAGTTATATGTGTACTTTGAAAATATACTCTGGATTTACTCAGTAAAAATGTTGCTCTGAGCTATTAGAAGACAAAGTTGTGTACAGATGAGCTTGATTTGATGAAGGTGTTGTGGGTGTCCAGTCGGAGGCTGACCCATCTTCCCTCTGTCCCCACCACCTCATATTCTGAGTTAACTGGGGAGCCATCTGGCTGCCACATGTGTGGCCAGTTGCGTTCTCAACAGGAGTGGGAAATGTAAGAATTCTCCCAGAAGCACACTTGTAGAGTTCGACTTCCTCCCGCTAGTGTGGAGAAGTTCTCAGGATGCCAGATCATTAAGCACACTTTCCAGTGTGGGAGGCCCTTGAACCTCCCCCACTCTCGCTGGCTTGAATAAATTCAGATTGTTCCGCAAGCCTAGGCAAATACTCCATTGTGTTATTCTCCAGAGTAGTTTGACCTTGTACGCTTGAAGAATTCCTCCCCAAGACTTTCTTGCCCTCCCGGAAATTCACCCTTTTCAGAACTTTGAGGCCTAAATCCAGCCTGAAGAATGTGCACCCTGTTTCATCTCCTCTTAAGGTGGTGGTGGAAGAGGGGAAAGGGTCACCCCCCACACACACAAGCTCCAGGCCCACGTGGGGTCCTGCAGAGTAGAGAGGACAGGATTCATTGGGTGGCATCTCAGCACTTCTTATTTGCATCCATAGAAAAATAAACACTTTGTACAATAATTTCTTTCCTTCTTTCTGTGGTCAGCTGACATTCCTTTTGAATCAAGTGCTATATCTTAAGGGAGGGGAGAAAGATGCCATGGAGAAGCAAGCAAGGGGCTCTGAAACCAGCTGCTTTGAGGGAAGGCAACTCCTGTCCTACTTCTGACAATTGCAGTCCCTTTCCTCTTCTCTCTTTGTGTTTATTTCTTTTTCAAAACACTGTACATCTTTATAGATTGCTTATGTATGCGTTAATATATGCTATTTGCCTTTCTCTTCCTCTAATTAAAAAAAAAACTATAAAAAACCACTATGCATCTAATACCTTTTAATGGTCAGGAGACTCTTCACCTTAAAACTATGAGAATCAGGGACTTACCCTGGTGGTCCAGTGATTAAGAATGGGCCTCGCAATCCAGAGGCCATGGGTTCAATCCCTAGTTGGGAACTAGGATCCCACATGATTTGGAGCAACCAATCCTCTATGCTGAAATTGCCGAGCCCTCCTCCACAACTGGAGAGTCTGTGCGCCCCAGCGAAAGATCCCGTCCCGCATAACACACTGAAGATCCCATGTGTTGCAACTAAAACCCAACGCAGCCAAATAAATCAATAAATATTAAAAAACAAAACTGCTAAATGAGCCAGAAGGAAGTAGGTTACATGTATCAAATAATCAGAAAAGTCACTCCAGTCCCAAATGGACCTACTTACTATGTGAAATGAAACTGTTAGTTGCTCAGTTTGTGTCCGACTCTTTGCCACCCCGTGGACTATAGCCCGCCAGGTTCCTCTGTCCATGGGATTCTCTAGGCAAGAATATTGGAGTGGGTTGCCGTGCCCTCCTCCAGGGGATCTTCCCAACCCAGGGATCAAACCCAGGTCTCCACACTGTAGGCAGATTCTTTACCATCTGAGCCACCAGGGAAGTCCTGACACCGTGAATACAGAAAACAAAAAAGCAAACATATTTTAGCATGTACAATCTGGTCACTTAATTGCCTGGACTACAAACAATGCTGCTACCATTTTCTTTCAGGTATTCTGAATTTCCTCTTTCCTGAAATTTTCACAATAATTTCACCTAGCGACTTCCACACTTTTTTGTACCTCCCCTGTATCTTATAAACGAATGAAATGCTTCTGTGAGAAGCTGGAACTTTCTTGTAAGGAAACAGTAAATCGACACAATTGTGAATAAAATTCCTTTCTTCAATATTAAGCTCCACTTCTTTTACTTTTTACAGAGCTTCCCATGACATTGGTCTCCACCAACGTATTTGCTCTCAGGTCTGGTACACTTGTTCCTCTCACTGTATCTGTTCAGCGCCTCACCGTTATTTACTAATCGTTCAGAGTATGTGACACATGCCAGGAGTTATGTGGGGGTTTTTAATATGTTTGAGAGGAAGAAAGAAAGAAACATAATAGTACAAGGTAGTGTTTCACTGGTGCCATAAGAGTGATATAAAGAGGTCAAAGCATTTAGATCTCACACATACGCGCGCGCACACACACACACACACACGCACACAGAAGTAGGAGTGGCTTGAGGGTGCCTGCATGAGTAGTTTCACCTAGAGGAATTCTGGGCAGGCTTTATGGTAGAAGTGGAACATGAACTTAACCTTAGATGGGTAGGATTTCAACAGAGGGAATTCTAAACAAAGGAACAGTGTTATCCAAGGTAGGAATATGGAAACATGGGAAAGAATGTGTCATACATAGGGAATGATTTGCTGTATAGTTTAACTTATAGTATGGGCATATTACAGCAGTTAGGACTGGTGAGTAGATTGGCATCAGATTTTAGAAGTGTTAAGAAATTAGAACTTTATTCCAAAGGCATTAATTCTTAAGCTTTTCAAGCAGGATTACACCATCCTGCATTAATATTATTATTTTTTTTTTTAAAAGGAGAGGTAGAATGAATAGGCAATCCAGGAAGGATCAAATAGGGGGATTTACCAAAGGCTAAATCAGTTTGGCCTCTTTTTTGAGACCATTGTGGTGATCTAAGCAGGAAGTGATAAGTGCTGAAACTAGAATGATAAATATTAGAATTGGGGTGGTGGGGATGAGTGATCCATCATGAACTGCAAAGGAAGAAGCAATTTCTATTTACTCTAACCAGATTGTCAGTTCCTGATAGCAAGGATTGTGTCTGCATTTTGTCTCCCCAGTGCCCAGTACATGGCTTGATCCAGAGAAATGTTTTATGGTGAATAGATATCCTCCTTTATTATCTACTTCATCGAATTTCATATTGTCTGCTTTCAAATAATTATGTCTTCATAAGCTACTAATTAATATATATGTACTTTTCCCCCCAGCAAAGCTAGTTTTCTGTAAAGAACAGAACTCCATAATGTTAGAGCAGCTTTTCATTCACTGTAAATCAAAAGAGAAACAACAATGAAGAGCCGATTCTGGAAAAGAGGGCGGAGGTTTTGGTGAACTGTTCTCAGTAAAAATAATGAAAGCGCTTCTTAAACTCAACTCATTTGCCTGGAGCACATGTGAGTCTGGTTTATTAAGGCATGATAGAATGATTATTAGAAAGACTACCACTACTAATAATAAGTGTCATATTATTCACATTATATCCTTAAAAGTCATGATATGCAGCAACAGAGAGTCACCTAGGAGATTGAACAGGGTTTTTACTACAATGAGAGAAGAATGTAACGTGCTTTGCGCTATTTCTGATGTGAACTCTGTAAGAGCAAAAAGGTTTCATTCCTTCTTGTTGCTCTTTAGTTGCCAAGTTGAGTCCGACTCTTGTGACCCCATGGACTGTAGCCCACCACGTTCCTCAGTCCGCGGGATTTCCCAGGCAAGAATACTGGAATGGGTTGCCATTTCCTTCGCCAGGGTATCTTCCCAGCCCAGGAATCAAACCTGTGTCTCCTACATCGGCAGGCAGATTCTTCACCACTGAGCCACCTGGGAAGCACCCTTCATTCCTTGCACAGTTCATTAAGTATACTCCCTGATGTTTTAGTCCAGCACAGGAAAGAATCCACTAACAGTATGAAAATGGTTTTAAGTTTATTTTGAATTGAAAATAGTATACCAAGCTTTCTACCATGAAATCAGTGAGAATTATTGCATGTTATTGGGTTTTTTTTTTTCTCTTCTGTTTTGTAATGCTTGCTTGCATCAGTTAAAAAGAGGAATGTCAATAAATTACTACTTAACTACTTCAGATTAGCTGTTAGCAAGATAAGGGTGCTGAATGGTGCTTAGCTCCAAATGGTGAAATTGACCTTATTTAAGCTACCAAATAGAACAGGCGGATTTATCAGGTATTCCCTAAAGTAAATATTTAGGAGTATTTGACAAGTAGGTATAACTGATTCTATCCAAACCTTACAATAACAATTCCATTATAAGTTGCAATAAATATTGAAAGAAGATGTGTCCTTCAATTGAAATATTTCATTTAAGGAAAACAGAATGTATTTCTATTTTAAGAGGGAAAGATTATTTTATAACATATCTAAACTGAATAGGTACACACTGGTGGACTTTGGAAAATATTTAAAATACCTAGCAATTGAGATTTGCTAACTACAGGGTTCTATCAAAACTGAGACTTAGAGTAAATTATTCATTCATATTTAAAAGTTCTGCTATTCTTCTTGAAGTGTATGTATATATATTTACAGGAGTTTCCCAGGTGGCTCAGGGTAAAGAATCCGCTTGCAGTGCAGGAGATGCAGGTTTTAATTCCTGGGTCGAGAAGATCCCCTGGTTAAGGAAATGGCAACCCACTACAGTATTCTTGCCTGGGAAAGCCCATGGACAGAGGAGTCTGGCAGATTATCGTCCATGGGGTCACAAAAGAGTTGGACACAACTTAGCAACTAAACAGCAACAAAAATATGCGATATACATATGTGTATATATACATGTTTTATACACAATATGGTGATCTTTAATTTATTATAATTTAGTAGAACAGAATTTTTTACTCTTTTTAAAATATTTTTATTTTATACTGGAGTACAGTTGATTAACAATGTTGTGTTTCACACACGTAGCAGGGTGATTCAGTTATACATGTATTTATTTCAAATTCTTTTCTCATTTAGGTTATTACAGAATATTAAGCAGAGTTCCCTGTGTAGTATAGCAGAATTTTGAAACAAAATGTTTACTGCTGGTAACACATGATTGTGTGTGTGTTAGTCACTCAGTCATGTCCAGCTGTTTGCTTCCCCACGGATGATAGCCTGCCAGGCTCCTCTGTCCATAGAATCCTCCAGGCCAGAATTCTGGAGTTGGTTGCCATTCCCTTCTCTAGGGGATCTTCCAGCCCAGGGATGGAACCTGGGTCTCCCACATTGCAGGCAGATTCTTTACCTTCGAGCCACCAGGGAAGCTTTATCATATGATTAATAATGTCCTAAACTTAAAAACTGGTGGTATTAGATAAGGAAAGTGAGTGGGCATGAAAGGCAAAGAGTAGAACATGTTTGAATAGTGTAGTTTCAAAAGCGTCAAAATTAAAATGGTGTGTTTTTCCCATTCCTCTATTTACTTTTTCCTCAATGGTAAACACTGCATTATATTTTATACAAATGATTCAAAGCTGAGCAGGGAAAAGAAGAGTTCAATCTGAAGAGAGACCATTTGTTGGAAGCATGAGGCTCTGGTATGATTTAATGGGCTGGTAGGACAGCACAAGAAAACCAAACTTGGAATAAGTCTAATAAAAGAGATATCTCCCAATAAGCATTTCCATCTAGACAAGACATTTTTGTTTTGAAAGATGGGCATAATCTCTCTTAATAAGACATGCTAGTCATGGAAGAGCTAGAAAAGCAAAGCTGCTGGATTTGGTTAAGCCTGAAGATAAACTTTTTGGAATGTCTCAATGGAAAAAGGAAGGGAAAAAAGTGTTCATTTTCTTTTTCATTTCGCTTCAGTAACAGACGTGTGCCATTGGGCTCTGATAGAAAAGTGGATACGCACATTTTACT